GAGGGAAGTAGAAGGATGGAGGAAGGAGGGTATGGATCAACAATGAGCGTTTCCCCAGGCTCTTATACTGCATCTTCCAGGAATGAACCATGCGCTCACATCACGAATCTGACCCGCTTATGGGCTCGGTAGGTCCATCGCAGTATCATGCAAGAAGAATTACCAGCAGTGCCCGCCACTTCAAAACGAGCAGCATTCGCATGCGCAAAACACAGACACACGCGACGCTTATGATTTGGTTCAGGGTGAAAAGCGGATAAGTCAATAGACTATGCACATACCTCGGCGAAGGCAGAGGTTTAATAAATTGAGCATTGAACACCCGAGAACGCCTTGCATTGAAAATTGGCCATCTGAAGGTCTTGGGCATCAGCATCAAGACAGCATCCAGACTGAGCAGCATCGCAGCTGACTCACTCGACTCACTCGTGCGGCCTGCACCCAATCATAGTCATGAAGAAACAAGCTGTATGCAAGAGCTTCTGTTACAGCTCACTCATGAGCAGCTGTATGAAGTCTTTGGAAACGCAGGGCATGTACGCACCTCCAGCGAGTGCCGGGGTAATCCAAACACTCACTTAACCCCTCTGAAACGACACACTGCCTTCCACATTCAACTCTTTTTCTAACTAGTTGTCTCTTGGCATCATTCACGGCGAGGAACAGACCTCGACTCGCACTTCGCGGGAATTGACGATTACATGACACTGGCGACTTTGTATAGCAAGAAGCGGTTGTCCCATATGCATTCGATTTGACTATTTAGCACACTCTACAGCGCATGCGTAGGTGCAAGTTGGTGCAAGTTGGTGCAAGTTATCAAGAGAGATGGCTGGGCAGGAGCTGCAAGTTCGAGACAACATTGGATTCTTTTGAATTCAGCTCGATGGTCGCAGTCACGGTTGAGAGTAAGAGCGCAATTGATCGCATCACGAAAATCTCACGTCTAGTGGCGGCGTGTTGGTGGTTGGTTGGTGGCTTGCTTCCTGCACTCATCATCAAGGCGAAACGCCCAAATCTCATATCCTGCTCACTTTCAGAGACACAGTGTATTCGCACAGAGCACAGTCGCAGTCCTCAACGTATAGACATCCAGTGTACCTGATCCAAACGTTTCTGCCCTCCATCCTCAACGCCGGGGTGATAGATAACCTACGCTAGGCTCATCCCAGTCTCGAGAACTTGAACTGTCCGTTATCTCGGGCCCAAGGTTGATCTTCCACTCTGCGCTCATTTTGATCCTCGACTCCCTTCCGACCTCTACATGTACATGACCAACGGCGATGCATTTCTCGACCTCTTCCAGTCTCTCCCTGAGTAGCCCCCACCTGTCTCCTGCGAGCTGTACTGTCTCGTCTCGCAATATTCAACAGCATTCTCACTTTCCACTGAGAATCTCGAACAGACTTGGCCCTTTCTCAGGCGTATAAATCCCACCTCCCACCTCCTCAACTTCTCATCCTCAGCTCCTCCTCCACTCCAACTCACATATTCACATCCACTCCAACCTCAACATTACATCGCAAATATCATGCAATTCAAAGCTCTCCTCGCGTTCGTCCTCGCCTCTACACTCGTCGCAGCAAGCCCCGCACCATGCGTGCGTCTTACCTCCTCCCTCTCATACATCATCACATCTAACATTTCGCTTGTACTATAGCTCGGTGAGGACCGCATCAACGACTCCTCCGCTGCCGCCGCCGCAGCTGCCGGTGGAAGTGCCGCTGCAGGGAGAAGTGCTGCTGTTGGAAGTGCTTCCTCGTTCGCTGCAGCTGCCTCGAACGGTGGCAACAGGGACCGATACAGGGGTGGGAGGTATCGTGATTGTCGGGGCCGCAAGGTACGCTGAGTCCTCCATCAACTCCTTCTCCATAAATCGACGCTGACACGAATGTGCAGGGCCGCCTCTTCAACCGTGAAGCTACCTCCACCGGTGTTCTCTTCGCTGAGAAAGAGGGTGGCGAGGAGAACGCCGATGATTTTCCGTTTAGGGGTGGGTTCTGGTTGGATAGTCGGGAGCAGGGGTTAGAGCGTCGTCAGGATGATGGGGGGGACGATGGGGATGACGATAACGACAATATCGATGGGGATGATAACGACGACGGCCATGATAACGACGACGGCCATGATAACGACGACGGCCATGATAACGACACCAACGACAACGACGACACCAACGACAACGACGACACCAACGACAACGACGACACCAACGACAACGACGACACCAACGACAACGACGACACCAACGACAACGACGACGACTCCAACAACCTTGAGCGTCGTGCCGGACGGCCGAACAAGTCTTGGTGGTAAGAGGTATAACCGAAGGGTACGGAAGCGTCGTGGGGATAGGCAGGGGAGTTGTGCTGCGTCTGGTGGGTATTCGAGCTGGGGCTGGGGCTGGGGCTGGGGCTTGATACTGGAACCGCGGAAATCTTGTCATTCTCGACTGATTATATTCTGTTACTTACCCGTATGTGCGAATATACATACCTCTTTCCTTCGCTCGTCACCTCGTCACGCTATCTTTCGATTTGCATTGCATCGTACGTCCGGTCGGTTCTTCACTCCGAGGATGTACGGGATAAGCTGTGGGTTTTATAGTATAGGGTATCGAGTAAACAAAGCATAAGACAATGAGGAAAAGTAAGTTTGACGACACGTAACGTACATACACATACACACACGGGCTACAAATACATCGAGTAAACGTCCAACTCCCACTCACCCACAAAGCTCGGAGTCCATCCCCACTCCGCCACTATCTCCGCTGCGATCTCGCACCCCCTCCCTCCACCGCTAGCAAACCACACACTCCATCTCATCCCTCTTCCCCAACCGGGCCTGCAGACTAGCCCTCAACTTTCCATCCCCCCCAAGATACGCACTCCCCTCATACGTCAAACTAGCCCCCATCAAAGAACTCTGCTCAAGAGACACACAAACCCCCCGATCTTTAAGCATCTGCGGATACGCGCGTTTTTCCCTTGCGCGTGTGAGTGATGAGAACGCCGGAAGTGAGACGAGCGGGGAGGTGGAAGAGGATGTAGAGAGCCGGATTGAGATCGTGGGTTTTAGGTGTGGTGGGGAGGGTTTTTTGGTGTCGCCGAATATCCCTGCGTAGCCGTAGGATAGAGGGGATGCGTGAGGAGAGGGAGAAGAGGAGCCAGCGGGGTCGGGGATGAGAAGTTGCGCGTCGATGAAGGTGGATGGGCTGGCGCCGAGGATGTGCAGTGAGACGAGCCACGCGCCGGCGTGTGAGGCGGAGGGTGGTGCGTAGTTTGAGGGGGAGGAGGGGTCGGATTTGTAGAACCGCAAGCGGAAGAGACGGCCTGTGCGTAGGGAAGAAAGATAGAAAAAAGATGAGTACGACGCGTTCAACGGAGTGAAAAACTTCCGTACGCACCCTTGGCGACAAACTCCACCCCCACCTCCCCCCTCACCATCATCCTCCTCTGAAACGCCACCAAACACATCCTCACCCCAAACGCCGCATCGTCTCCCTCCACAACACCATCCACATCCACCACGTCCCTCTCTTCATCCACCAAAAGTCGTACCTCTTCCTCTTCCACGAGATACCTTCTGAAGAAAGTGTGATCCGAGTTGACGAGGACGCCGGCGCGGAATTCTTCCTCCCCTTGTGCGGTCCATGGTCGGGAGAGTTCTATGACCATCTCGACGAGACCGGGGTTCGAAGGGCGTTTAAGCAGGGCCCAGTACACGGGAGAATGATCCTCTATGTATTTCGTTTGCAGGAGGGAGGGGAGGGAGAGGGAAAACGTCGAACACGCGGTAATGCATGAGTCCAGTATACCCTGTGCCGTTAGTGGGTTCTCGTCTGTTAGGTGCGATGTGATGAGTGTGCGGAGGAGTGAGAGAACGGTGAGTCGTGTTTGGGATTGGGAGTGGGAGGAGAGGGTGCGGGATGGGGAAGGTAATGGCGACGGATGAGCTTGGGAAAGGTAAGACGAAGACGAAGAAGCGAGACGAGGTAATGGTGGTGCGTCTAGTGGTGCTTTCTCGCTCGGAGGTGCAACGAGCGCAGGCCCGCAACCGACGAGCTCGTCGTAAGCCGGTGGAGGAGCTTCGTTGGTTTCGAAGGGTTTGTCGATGATCATTTCTGGTCAGACTTGGTTGCAGTGCACAGTGTTCGGGCAAAGAACTTGTTCAGGTGAAGAGGGCGCTATGGAGGATAGAAATAGATGCAAGTGCTGCGCATTGCTGTTGTGGAAGGGAGACGGAGCTGCCGTCGACGTGTTCAGGCACAGCCAACGTATTGAGTTCATGCCGGTTCCGATGATCATGAAAATTGTGTTCTGTGTGAGTAATGGTTAGGGTGCAGTTGAGATACTCAGGTATACATCCTTCTTGCTGTGCACCTAGATAGACAGGGCAAGTACCGCGAACTAGGTTTCCTCGAGTTACACTGTTGCACAGCAGGCGCAAATTGCGCACATTGATCGCATCATCAAAAGCATTTTTTCTGCCTTCATTGCGCGCATGCGCACTCTCGCGTAGTTCGCAGAAAAAGTGCCGAATCTGGAAGTGTCTTGGACGTATTGGAGCAAGCTGTATGTGCCCCATGTGAGTATCTGGTGGGTCTTCCCCAACAGTGCAAGTTCCCGAAGTCGGAGGTTTTGAGAAGGGTACGCCTCGCACTCAAGCTGCACTCACGATAACGCAGAGGTCCTTTCTTTCAGTGATAGCCCTAAGATCCTAAGGCCTTCAAACGTTGAGGCCTTTGGGGCCTTAAGCTTAGGGCTTAAGACGAGTGAAAATGTTGCCTTCAGGCCTTCAGGACCTTATGTGGCGCGACAGCTTGAGCAAAACGAGTGCAGGGATTTTCGAAAACCCCCAGCAGAAAGAAAGTTTCTTTCCCTGTCTTTTGGGTGTTACGAGCTCACTTTGTCGGATATCCATACTGATACACTACACGGGTAAGACTGTAGGTGAATGGCTGGGAAAACAAAAATTTCTTTGCACTTTTCGTCTGAAGGACCCGCCCAGACTCGAACTGAGATCGGCGTCACTCGGTCATCCCCTAACTGGGTCAGGATCACGAGCGACAGGACACTTTAACCATTAAGCTACAGGCCCGCATCCTAATATTTGCTTGCTTGTGTACTTGTCAAATGCACCCCTGGATCGCTATTCTCGACTACGTTCTGAATGCGGTTTATGTAGCGGATTGGTGACACTTCAGAATGACAATCTCGAGTCTTGCGAAAAAAATTTAGACGGCGATTTAAAGTGTACGCACAGATCGAGGAAGTGCTGGAACACACTTGAGGAATGTTTTCCATAGGGGTGTGGCCCTTCGGATTCGACAGTGGCGTGCGTCGATATCCTCACTGCCAACAGCACAAATCCCCCGAGTTTTAGGATAGCTAACAAGTGGCTATGAATTGTTGGATCGCCATGAATTGTGATGTACGCGTCAACATGCAAACAAAAATGCTCGACGTACAAGAGTCCAGGCTCAAAAATATACGGTGACGTTCACATGCGCCGAATTGCACCGGAGCCGCACGCACGAAAACGAAACTTCCTCAAATTATGGGACCCGCCCAGACTCGAACTGAGATCGGCGTCACCCGGTCCCTTGACGAATCAGGCTCCATAGGAAAGAAACCACTTGAACCATTAAGCTACAGGCCCTTGACGGAAAGCAGCGTGCATCGAAAAAGGATTTCAGCTCTCCATGAACGCGCTAGACGACTAATGATTACCACTAAGTAGTAGTAGCACTTGGAGACTCGAGCTCACTATCGTTGCTGAACCACCCCTTCCTGACCAACGCTCTCACAGCCCCCTCCACCTCCACCCTAACATCAAACTCATGCACACCCCTCCTCACACCCTCAAACTCCTCCAACCTCGCCCTAAACGCCTTTTTCCTCTCCATCAACCCAGGACCAAGCATACTCCGATTCATCGACTTCACTTCCATCGACATGAAAGATCCGTGTAATTGCCCGATTGCGGCGCTGTGTCGCGAGACGGCGTTGGCGCGGGGAAGGCGCGTGGTGGAGTAGGTGTGTAGGATGGCTTCAAGGGAAGGGAGAGGGGATTGGAGGTTGAGGGGGTGGGTGAGGAGGGAGGTGAGGAGGTGGACGTCTTCGATGCCTTGGCCTATGCCGGCGCCGAGGTGGGGGGTTGAGGCGTGGGCCTGTTGGCGCGACGTTCAGGTTCGGGAGTTTGGGTACAAGTAAAGAAGGAAAGAAGGGGATGGAACGTACTGCGTCACCGATGAGGACGACTCGACCACCTGTCCTTCCAAGCCCCTTCAAGCTGCCTCCATCGTCAGACTCCCGACCGACGCTGACGAAGCTCTCCAACCCCGGGTTCAAATCATGCATGAACCACACGTTCGCGTCCTCCGCCGCTAACCGCAGAAGTGTCCGTACGTCCTCTGACCATCCTCCTTCATCGCTCGACCCGAAAAAATCATCCGTCATCTCCTCGCTGCTTACCCCTCGTCGAACCCATGGTCTAGAAGCAGGAGGGTTAGGTCGACATAGAAGTGCATGGTCGTTGTGGTATGCTGCGACGTTGATCTGTCTATATGGTAAGCAAGTACCGTTGAAGAGAAGAGAGCATGGTGGAGGGAGCAGACGTACGAAAGTACCGTTCGCAAGCGGTGCTGTGAATATGTTCTGTAGCCGCATCAGCCTCACTTGTCCTCGGGGTGGTTTCAGAGAAGGAGGATGGGACATACGTGCTGCAAACCAACGATAACCAACAACCTCTGCAGATCGAGCTTCACGCCGGCTTGCACTAGCTTCTCGTATGGGACAAGGGCTCGATAGACTTTGCTGCCTGTGTACGAGAGTTGAGGATCCGCGTCGGGATGGCTCGTGTATTCCAAATTGGATCTTGAGGTTGAGGCTCTAGGTCCATCAAAGGCAGCCGCTGGAGATTCGGAAGCAGATGAAGCTGTCGAAGAATGTGCAGTCGCGTCGCCCGTCCCCTCGCCCCACCCCCTCCCCACCACCTCTCTCACAACGCTCCTAACCCCATCCGCGCCGACCACCATATCCGCCTCCACCCGCGTCCCATCCGCAAACTCCACGCGATACGTATCCTCCGCAGCCAGATACCCAATATCCACACACCGCTTCTCGAAATACACCTTCGTCGTCCCCTCGTCCAAAAGCGGCATTAACGCCTCCATGAACCTCGCCCTATGCAGCGTCATCTCACCCCTCTCCGCCGTGAAGTTGCGTACTTGATGTAACTCCGCCTCCTCTGGAGTAACTGGTAGTTTTCCTCCGAAGTTCATCGGGATGGTGTCGGCGCCGAGTGTATAGAAGAGGGTGGAGAGACGTGGTGTTTGGCCGGTGTGGGAGATGATGTGGTCGAGGAGGTTAAGCTCGGATAGGGCGAGGAGGGCGTTGGAGTTGAGGGTTACGCTGGCGCCGAGTTCTTTGAATGTGTGCTGTGATCGCGTTCACACGCATAGACGCGACAACAAGGAGGAAAGACGTACCGCAGCCTCGTATATAGATACCTCTATCCGTGTACCGACATATGATGGTGCCGATTGCGCCCTGCTCAGCGCTGCACCCAGCGTCAAACCACATAGACCACCACCCACAACTGCGAGTCGGATCGGCGTCGTACTGGTGTTGGTGCGCTGCATCGTCGTGGTCGTCTTGAGGTAGGTTTCAAACTCGGAGATCACCTGAGGATGCATCTCGTCGAGAGATAACTCCCTGTGGCGTACGTACCGATTACCGACGGCGAAAAGTACTCTCTCAGACCAAGCAAAGTGTCACGTCCATTGCAGCACCTCATCGTTGCCTCATCGCATCGATGTCGCGTTCTCGGCCTCCCTTTTTGGGTGCCCGTATACTGTAAGAATCAGCATTTCAACAGTGCGATGATCGGAGAATTGACACAATAAAAGGAGTGTCATTGGTTACTTGGGCCAGAGTAGGAGACACGAGGAGAGGTCGCCATCTTGAGCCCGTGTTTGCCGAACCTGGAAGGTTTGGCTAGGGATCGAGAAACTGTCGCCACGCCCACACCTCTCGACGATATCTCGCACTGACTCGCCCTCGACCACAAGTTCATTGGGGTCCTCGACTGCTTGAACTTCACTGCTGTCGTGTCTTCTCCAAATATCACACTGTTCTTTTTTACTATTAGTGGTGTGGTACGTGCTCTCATATCAGCAAGCCAGAGATTGGGCGCAGCCGGTGCCGGCTAATCGCCTTCAGCAACGAGGGCAGTCGATACCTCAGAAGGGCCAAAAGAGAGCACAGAGGAAATATAGCGATTATTAAGCTTTATGAATCCAGACAAACTATGCTGCGTTAGTGTAGCTAAGTCTGAGAGTGCCACGCAGTCTTTGAGCAACTACAGCGCACAAGTTCATGCATATACATAGAACTATAGTACGCTGATTCTAGTGTTCTCGGTCTGTGATGTAAAGTCCAATTAGACAACTCCGTTCCTACAGCTTGTGGCCTCATGAGCCAGGTTCGGCACCGGTTGCGCCAGCGGCACCCAGCTCTCATACAGTACCAAGCCGTTTTCACAGGCTGGAAGGAAGGCCATCGGAGACAGGAGATGCTAATCGAGGCGACAGATGGACGAGCGCCGGAAGACGGTCAGTACTCGGGCCGAGAATGCGCAGGTGCCATCAACATTGCGATCAAACTTGGACTGAACGTGCTCGAGTGCTTTTCGTCTTCGACCACCATCTCCTCCTAAGCACCGTTACAATAGCACTCATATCCGCACCCACGGCCTCTCCATGCTCGATATAGGCGCGAAGAAAGGGCTCGTCAGGATGAGTCGAACATATCGCAGCGCACTCAGCTGCTTCAGTTTGCGCAGCGCCGAAACATAGTGATTTACTAACCGCAGCAACTAATGCTCTGGAACCTGAACCACTTACGCTGTCTCGCTGTACCTGGGACCTGACTGAGTCACCGTTGATTGAGCAACTATCCGCGCACTCTGAGATGACTGTGAAGCCGAGAATAGCTGCGAGGCAGGAAGTCCGGGTCGTTCCTATCCAACATTGGATGTAACCTTCAACCAATTCTCTCAATCGAGGCTTCTCTGCGTCGTTTCGGTGGTGGATTTCTGGTTAGCTTGTCTGGGGCAATGATTCTGTAAGCCTTGCAGTACTTAACTGCGTTTTTTTCGTGCCTGAAGTCTATCACAGTTCCTGCGCTTCCGCTGTCTCTGACACTTGCGGAAGTCCGTCTCAGACTCTGAAATTAAGGTTATGTGAGCTCGAAAACGGTCGCAGTACTGCGAAGTCGGATCACCGACAAGCAACGACGAGTGCGCGCGGAGCTGATATACAAGGCCTGCATCGAAGTGTAGAGAAGTCAGCAACCCAGCTTTGCCATCTAGCTCGCGGCCTTCTCGAGCCCGCATTCCTCTCGCCTCCCCCATATCGACCTCAAATCGCGCGCCATGTTCACCTCCGTGACGTTCCTCGCTCTCCTCGGCGCCGCCCTCGCCGCTCCCACTCCTGTACGTTTCCTCACAAATACACTTGATCTCGCGCTGATCTCTATGTACTAGCAATTCTTCGGTGGTGGTGGATCAGCCGCAGCCTCCGCTGCCACATCTGGAGGCGGCTTTTTCGGTGCAGGTTCAGCAGCGGCTGCAGCGGCTGCTGCTGCTGCTGCCAGCAGTAGTGATGATGGCGGATTTGGTGGTTACGGCGGCTATGGAGACTTTTACAAACGTTCTGTGAGTATCTCGTTCGATATTCATGAGCCACCATCTCATGCTCTGAACAGCCTCAATTCTTCGGTGGTGGGGGATCGGCCGCTTCTGCTGCTGCTGCTGCATCCGACGGCGGCTTTTTCGGAGGTGGATCTGCAGCAGCTGCCGCCGCTGCGTCTGGTGGCGGCTTTGACGGTGGATCAGCTGCCGCTGCCGCTGCTGCATCCGGTGGCGGTGATGGGGGCGACTCTGCTGCTGCCGCTGCTGCTGCGAGCGGCGGTGACAACGGCGGCTACGGAGGATACGGAGGTTATGGTTTCTACAAGCGCGCGGTACGCATCATTCTCGAGGATTGCACTCTACTCTGTGTCTGATGCGTCGGGTGTAGCCCCAGTTCTTCGGTG